TATTCTGCATAGTATAAATCATTTTATTTTAAGTTTTTATATCATATTCTTTATTCAACTATATTCATATAACAGAAACAATACAATAGAGAATATCATACTTTTGCTCTTCAACTTGAAGATCTAAGAAAGTTAATTTGACAGCATTTGCTTTTATATTACTTTGATCAATAAGGAAATATCAGAGTTTCTAATAGCATTCAAAATGATTAATTATTTTATTGCAATAGCACTACTTTTCTTATTATTTACAAAAAATATGAATCTACATCCTAGCACCTATAATCATTATAGATATATAGTATAAATAAACACTAATTGTATTTATTAGTTTTGTATATAGAGTATAGAAGAGTTAGCCAGCTAGAGTAAATAGTATGGCTAAAAAATCTTGTGTATTATATAGTATGCCAACTGCTAAAGTTCATGTCAGGATGCTACTCTAATCTACTATTAAACTACATAATAATATACTCAATTGGAATTGGTCAGTTATCATTTACTATAATGTTTACTATAAAATATCTTTTTAAAATACTTCAGAGTATTGTTTCAATTTTTTTAGATTATTTTCAGAACCTTTTAAGATTATATAAATCGCATGCCTATAGGCAATCTAGACATTGGGCATGCTAATAGCATGCTATCATAAACATGTCATCCTGGCATGCCAATGACCTTTATACCACTCACCCACCCTATAGTTAGTCAAAACTTTAAAGTTTTCTAATTAGTTATTATACAAAAAAAACAAAACCACAGATATAATGCTATATAACTTTATAATATTTAATTTAGTATTTGTAGTTTTCTAAAAAAAACAACTAACTTTCAAGTATCTTCTTTTTATTTTTTTTTTTGTAGACATAGTTTTCTTTTAAAAAACTTATCTAGAATTAAAATATATTCTTCTTAATAATTTTAGATATAGAAAAAACTCTTTCCAGAACCCCTGAAAATCACTAAGTAAACAAAAATTATTATTGAACGAAAAATAAACATTTGAATTGACTGGTACCTAAGTTAAATTGCAACAAGATAGTAAGAACCCCACCCTTTATATTAACAAAAGGAGAAGGAACAACAAACACTTCTTGGACATGTTTGAAATCAATATTTTGGAAGGTGTTCATGAACACCAACCCACTGACAGCTTGCCATCATATAAGCATGTAAAATACAATACCATGTCTGATACTAAAGACCTTACTTATCAAAACATGAAAACAACATCTATCTCTTCAAGTCCACAAAGACCAAACACCTCACACGACCAAAACCAAACTACTCAAGAAGTAAATAGCCAGCCCTCAAACGAGACATTGCTCAAAGAGTCAACGACCACAATTACAGTGACATCATCACAACAACAAATATTACTTGAAAACTCCCAAATTGGTACCAACTCGGATCACCCCGATCTGGGCAAAAATGATTTTCAACCTATGGATACAGTAGATGACTTTACTGTTAACAGATTGAACCCCCTATCAGACGGCAGTTTTATCACTCACCAACAGCTAAATAAATGGAAGCAACATAACAAGCTATTATACAGTCAAGCAGCAGCTCGAAAAACAATACAACTAGACAATAACCTAAATAATTACTGGATTGAGGAAATTACCAATGAACTGGAGAAAAGGAAAAAGAAATCTTTTGAACATAATATCTGAAACAATGACAATATACTAAAAGCACTTACTGACGAAGCATTATTTAGGAAGTTTATTAACCATAAGATCCAAACCAC